TGTTACATGCTACGCTGGCACAGGATCCTGTGTTATTTTTTGTAATACTAAAAATGATGCAAATGGTATGTTAATTTGGATTCCCTGTTTTCCGATATAGATTGTTATTAATTTTATTTGCAAAACCGATTGTATATTTCAGAGCTTGCACTTAATGATAAGTTGAAGCAAGATGCACAAGTATTACACGGAGATATTGCCCAAGCGCAAAGAGAAATTACCATGAAACGTTTCAGAGAGGGAAAATTTAAATGCATTATATGTACGGACGTCTTAGCAAGAGGGATTGATATTCCACAAGTTGGTGAGTGTTGGTTTTCTCTCTAATGCTCAATGCATCTTCAGATATTGAATCTTATACTTTTATTACAGATTTAGTGATCAATTGTGAACCGCCAAAAGATATAGAAACTTACGTTCATCGGGCTGGGAGGACCGCGCGAGCGGGACGGCTGGGCACAGCCGTAACGTTTTTCAAACCACAAGAAGAATATCTTCTGTTAAACATTCAACGACGTACCGGAATCGTGTTTCAAATGGTTGGCCCACCACAACCGCAAGAAATCATCGCTGCCACTGCAAATGATGTCATCAAAAACATAGAATCTGTTGAAAGTACAGTGGTATCTTATTTTCATGAAACAGCTAAAGAATTAATAGCTTCCCAAGGAGCAGTCGAGGCGTTAAGTGCAGCTTTAGCGTATATGAGTGGCTACGCTGGAGGAATAAAGAAACGTTCATTGATGTCAGCTGTAGAAGGGTACACTACGTTGCTATTCAGATTTACATATCCGATTAGGCACAGTAGTTATGTAAGAAATATTTTCAGAAATCATTATCCACAATTATCAGAGGACAGTATCAAAGCATTTAAATTAACCAAAGATATGCAAGGAGTGGTATTTGATATTTCTAGCGACAAGTTAGAAATTGGAAAGGATGGAGAGATCGTTCTGGCCGGGAAACCTTGGGCGAATTCTAAAACCACAACATTGGAGATTGCGAAAGAGTTACCGGAATTACAGGAGGTTAATAGATGGAGTCACGGAGATGGTGGTGGAAACGCTAATGGAGGTGGATATAGGGGCGGAAATCGAAATAGTAATAAATTTGGAAATAATCGGAACGGAAACGGGTATGGAGGAGGTGGTCGTGGTGGTAGTCGTGGATACGGACGGAAAAATTTTTAACTGTAATTGTCGATTATTTATAAGAAATATTTAGTATTCTGGAATTCACGAGAATTAAGTTTTATCTCTTTGGATAAGATATTTTAGAATGATAATTTTGTTGCATTCAATCTTGTTGACTTTCTAATATACTGTATGCATAGAAACCATATATACGTAAAATACGAGGAATACTTTTGTTTTTAGACCAGTTTGTTGCGTTTCATTTCAGAGGAGAATACTAGTTAGTAGTCTTAAATTTTTTACTTGGTAACAAGATTATGACATCCAAGAAAAAACAATGACATACTGTATGATAAGTATAAAGAAAATATCAAAGCAGCATTTTTTCCTCTCTTTTTTTTTCCCCCTTTTTCCATTACGTTTTCCACCCAACAAAAATATATAGAATCAATATTTATAATATTCTTTCTGACGAATTTCAATACATTAACCTTTAAAAAAAAAAAAAAATACATTATTAAAAAATTTAATCAATTTTGTTAAGACTGTAACAGTTGATCAAATGTGGTGATTGGAATTATTTAATATGAATATCCTGTATTACGTGATTTTTAAATGATAAATTTGATTTTAAATTTATATGCAGTATATATGATATTTACTGTTATATCTTGCTATATTTGGTCACTCAATTGTTTGGGATAACAGGTATTTAACACATCAACAAGTATACTCACATTGTGTCTATTGTACCTATAGATTATTAACATATTTGAGAATGGTTTGTAAGATCATTTACACTTACTTTTTTTTTTTTAATCAGGAACTAGCTGTTATATCAGGAAAATTCTGTTAGTTACTAAAAAAAAAAAAGATATCGATGAGCTAAAGACAAGAGTTAAAGATCGAACCATATAACAAGGAATCGAAAAAATAAATATTTCAAGGATCAGAAGTGGTAGTACCACAGAGCATAGCAGATTTATTAAAATTAGAAGAGGCAACTAAAGAAAGTGATCATATCGATCGCATAGGGTAGGGATCTAAATTATTAATGTAAAATGTATAGCATAGTGATCGCTGGTTCTCTCTATAGTAAGAATTTGCATGGCATTAATATTCTCGCTTTTTTTTTTTTTTTGAATTAGGCTATCATTAAATCTACGAAATTCGACGTGTCACTTGAATTCATTTCTTCAAGATAACAAAGAACAAAAACAAATAATGTGACTACCTTGCCTATTAAATTATATAAGATGCATTTGTGCTATAAATCGATTATATCGAATATACTAATTTCACTTTTGTCACCATGGGTGAATTTTATATTACGGAAGTTTAAAATGTCTTTGGGTATTAAATAATTTTTCGTTGTATCGTCCTCATTACTTATCCCATCTCCTTCAAAATTCCTACGTTTCTCGCCTTCATTACCTATGCCATCACCACCTAAATTTCCGCTGTCAGCAACTAGTTCTCCTTTTAGTCCACCCTTTTCCTTCACACCTCCCAGATAACCACCACCTCTAAATTTCTCAATCGAGTTATCATCATAATATTCTACAGGTAGCCGATTTATCCGATAGGTGGGTTCGGGTTTGACCACCGTCATTCGTGTGGTGTAGGCGGCAGAATTTATACGCTCATCTTCTTCAATTTGTTCAGGCGTCAGATGTAGTGGACGATTCATTGGACGACTCTTTAAGTGGCTTGAGACGGGGTTCACCAGAAATCGAGAGAGTTGATGTGATCGCAAAAGGATTAACATTGAAATCATCGATATTGCCTTAGACAGATCTTCCGTTACCTGTTTAGAAATAGATTAGTCACGGTTTCTGCTGTAAGTGCCAGATCAGTTGCCATAAGAAATTACCCTGTTCTTCCAGAAATTGTCAATGGTAGGTTTAAGGTTCAACGAAGCGACATTTGAAATTGTCAGGAAGGAGAAGGAAACCATAAGGATAATCATGGCGATTAAGACCTAAAGTTCAAAAACTATCAATCAATCAAGTGTCGCGTAAAATGCTACCATATGGGGAACCAAGATACCTGCAGCGCTTTTCCTTTGTCAGCCTTGCTGGAAAACTTGAACGTCAGCGAGTCGCCAATTTTTTGATTAATTTCGCGATCGGTTGCAAAGTCATAAATCATAAACACTCCAAATGTCAAGTAGCCCAGATTCATCAGAACAACAAATAACAATTTGTTAACGATCAAAAAGACCGTCGAGAAGTGCACATTTTTTGACGTTTCAGTCACAAATTCGAAAAATAATAATCCCACTGCCATGCAAATACCGAATAACAAAAGAAGTCTTTGAAATTCGGCAGCCAGTTTAACTATAGGGGAAAGCTTTATGTCACACTTTGTTGTTTCTACTGATGCTTTTATCCTACATAAGCGGAAAAAAGTGAGATGAGTGCGACGGAAAGATGGATAAATCCATGAGCACGTAATACGAATTATATCTGTACCATGAATATTGTAGGGCAACGTAAAATATGCAAAGCAAAAGGAAAACGACACCATCGATTATTGAATAGCTAGCTGCAGAGATCAATTCTTTTACATTTCCCGGATCGATATGAAGAATAATCAACGAAGCTACGAAATGGAAAAACAAAATCAACAAATAAATTTAAAATGAATCGTTAAAAAAAAAATCAAAGTCATTGATGTAACTACCCATTGAGCAAAAGGCGATGCCAGGTAACACAAACAAGTTTGGATTTAAAATAAACTTTGTCGGATTTTCGGGGAGCGTCCAAAACCGAAGGGAATAACACATGATGCCACACGAAAATATAAATATTAAGCCGTAAACAACGCCCAATATGGTGGACCACGCAATCCAAGTTCGACTTTTTAGTAAGCGAACCCATGGACCATTATCTTTGGTGAACGTGGATATTGGATAATTGGAATAAGAAAAAAATGTTATTTTAAATGAATACATATTCCATCCCAAAAATTTCAACGTAAAATAATAATAACAAAGTAAGTTACCGGACGTGACAGTTACTTTACTGGTCATGTTTGCGAGATTCATCAGTTGATCCATATCACTTTTTCGGAGCAACGTCAACCCCGTCTTGGCTTTCAGTATCTCGCCTTGATCACTAATCGGCTCTTTTACTCCAGGATCTCCGCCGTTCGTTGAAGTAAGAACGATCACTCGAGGAATATCTGAAGATGAATCAGAATCATCTCGTTTCATCAACTGGTTTGTTTTTTTATCTATCCTCACAAATTTGTTACACCGATCCTTACAACCTCGCGGTTGCATTCTTTCGCAGGGCAATGCTCGTTTTTTAACATCATTTGACGAACTGGTTTGATTGTTGGACGGCGATGTTACGTCTTGCGTTATCCAACTGTTACTGAAAACATCAATCAAGAGGGAATGTAAACGTCTTGATCGCAAATATTCACAATACAGTAACGAAAAATATCTACCTCAAAATCAAATCGTCTATTGAACTGCAACCAAGCTCCATTGCTTTGTCGAATGGAATGACTAACAAAGCAATCCCAACAGAGATAGGTTCAAGCGTACACGGTGATGAAATGGTGTCATTGATCTCGTTTCCGGAAACACTCGAGGCGTTCATCTGTTGTTTAAACTTTGCGATTTCCATCTTCCCTTGGATTATCATGTCCCTCTTATAATAATCGGGGCTCGGACCTTGGTAGTAAGAAAATGAGAAATCGACATTTGGCAAGGATATCAACTCGTTACTTGATGAATCGTATAACGATATTTTTGCATAAGCTGTGTTCGACGTTGATAAGATAAACATCAACATCAACAACAATAATATGTAACCTTTGTGGTCTACCATCTTTCTATGAAGTGTTACAGAAGGAATTACGTGCATTAGTTGAGACATGACGAATTTGATCCTTGAACATATATAAATATATAAAAAAATTTTATTATTATTATTATATTATTATTATTATTTTAATTTTATGGATTTCTCTATTTTTTCTACCAGAGAGAAAGGAGGAACATATAATCGAGTATCTGGTACTATTATAAAGGCATTTGTTTGACCATTAGAGGAAATGGTGATAATGGAATCGCGTTTTGGCAAATTG